ATCTCTCACCAAAATAAATAGCTGCCACCACAGCTTCAACAGGCAGGACCAAAGAGCTATCCCCTAAGAGGCTTAGCTGGCAAGCTGGGCAATCCTAGTGTGCACAAGGTCATGGTTTGTCAGAGCCTTGACATCAACAGGAATTGAGCTTGGCTCTAAGTAGGAACAGGTTACACACATTATTGTTTTCAGTATCGAACATCAGCACTGGAGAGCTTGTGCCCTCTGTGAGCACTGAGCAGTAGCAGCCAAGCCCACAGGCTGGAGAAGGCAAGGACACAGGGCAAGGGGAAGAGCCCTTTGGTTTGCTATTTGTCTTCAGGCCAATCAACCCCAACTAATCCAGAACAAATAGAAAGCAACAAACCTAATGAAACAGAGGCCAAAAACTGAGGTGCAAATAATGCTAATCGATTTTCCTTTGCTGTCAATTTGTCATTTGCCAAAGGTTATCAAAAGCTCATTCTAGTTCAAACAAGCCAACACTTTAACCATGCCATTCCTGCCTGGTCAGGAGTTCCTTGTGGCCTGTGCTGTGCCAGAGGTTGGACCACTACCTTCCCCTCAGCCTCAGAAACTGGGAATCTTTGAGCAAACAGCACTCACTAGTATCAGCTGGTGGATGTGTGCTGCTGTGTTTCCCAACAATGAAAAAGTCAGCAAGGGTACAGCCAGCTAGTTTTACCCTCTTAGAGGCTGCCAGTCTCCATCCTAGATTTATGGGCACGTGGTGCCACCTCTTTTTCGGCAGCATGTTCTGCAAATATGGACAAGGGGAGGGGAAGATTTAATAAGAGGAAGAGATCAGCCTCTGAGTCAGGAGCCCTGATGGGAAGGAAGATGCAATACTCCTAGACAGCAGGCTGCCCAGGTAAAGTAAACAAGAAGCAGCAGACTTGATATCCAGCAAACTAGGGTAAAACCCTGCCAAAGACACTGGTAGGTACCAGTCCAGCAGCTTTTCTGATGCTACTTTGGCCCTGAGATGCTAACTTGTTTTTTTGAGGAGCCCAAGACGATAAATATATCTACGTTTCAAAAAAGGAAGGCTTCCACATGAGCCTCCTGCTGTCTGTGCCCCAGGCTAGAGATTACAAGCTCTGCCCTTGCTGCTGAGCTCTTGGGCTCCTCTTGGTCCCCCTCTCTTCTGGTCCTCCCAGCCATCCCCCTCCCATACAGGCAACCCTACATTTCCCACAGCCACTCCCAAGAGGAAAGATCCTAACAAGTCTTAAGTTCAGAGCAACTGGATGAAATGTAATGGGATCAACAACATTGGAAATGATAAGCAGAGAGAGAGAGAGAGAGAGAGAGAGAGAGACAGGGCAAGACAGAAGTTGTAAGATCAACTAACCAGAAAGATTTAAGCACAGAGCACAACCATTAAGACCAATCCACAAAGGAAAGGGATGACTAGCAACTGTCTCCAGCTCTCCTTCAGTTCTGGCTCCCCAAGTCCACTACGGCCGCAAAGAGGTTTCCGCAGGCAGTCCCTACAGAGAGGACATCACCCTCTCCAAACAGTCCTGGCATGTCAGTCCCACCCTTGTTGTTGCCTGCCTCCAGGGAGCTGGCGTTGGTCCTCACTCTCCTTCCTGGAGCTGTAGCACTTCCCCATCCTTGATCTTGCTGCCCTTGTGCTTGAACGATCCTGTGCCTGTCTCTAATCCCACAGAGGGGGGCTCCCCCCATGGTGTTGTGAGGGATGTAACACACTGGCAGTATGGGGCCGCAGGGGGATTACAACGCCAGCAAGGTGGGAGAGTTCAAGGAATCTGAGGACTGGTCCCCGCTGCTGCTGCTCCTCCGGTGAGCTTTGGAGCAGGACTCAGAAGGGGAGAGAGGTGACTCCTGATCCAACACGTTGGGGTAGGTGAACACCAAGTTGGAGGAGCCAGGAGTGATGGCTGGTGTTGAGGTCACCACGATGGGAGTGTTGAGTGCCTCCTCCCCATAAAAACCTCCAGCAATGCTGATGGGCTTAATGACAGACCTCTGGGCTTTGTCAAGGCCCAAAGAGGAAGATGGGATCTCTTCCTCCACAGGCTCCTGCTTCACCACCACGGCTCCACTTGCTCCAGTCCGAACGCTCTGGAGGCTGCTGGATGGTGGGCTCCGACGTTCCTCAGGGCTGATTTTGCACACAGGGCTGTGAGCCACCAGCATAAACTCCAGCTTCTCCTTCTCCTTCTGGAGCTCAGCAATCTCCTTTTGCAGTAGGGACTTCTCCTCCTCCAGCACTTCAGTCTCCTGAAGACAAAAGGAGAATAAATAAATACCAGAGGCTTTGGAACTGCTCCTCACCTGGAACATGGCCATCAAGTCCAGATCCCATCTGGCATACGCAGATACACCCCAGACTCTTCGTGAGCCAAGCAGGCACTATGTCACTGCCAAGCAGGCACTATGTCACTGCCAGTTTCATGTGTCTACTAGTAGGCTACTCCCAATCTAAGGGCTATAAATATTCTTCTCATGAACTCACCTTAATTTTCTGATGTCCAGTTTCTGCCACTTTGTCTTGACCTGTGATTTCACTCTTCTCCCTTGCTCTCTGCCTGACAGACACCTTAGCAGAGAGGACCCAAATCTCCTCCCATTGTTTTTGGTGTTAAGCTAGTCATATTCTTTTCACTTACAGAGAGGTTATGTATAGCAATCTCTAAACTGTTTCCATTTTCTTTCTGTAGTGCATTTTGCAGGTTAGGTCTGACACTTGCCTGACTCTTGCCCAAAGGACTAACGCTTTCATCTCCACTGGGTCATTCCTTGATGCATCCTAGGATTAATATATTTACCTTTCCCACGGTCACATCATGGTGGTTCATAGACAATCTGCGAGCAGTTAGTACCTTCCCATGTAAGGAGCGCATCATTTCACAACGAACTCACCCTCAGTCCTCCAGGATATGACTTCCCACTTTACACTCCTCTATTACTTTAGTCATGGCATTCCTATAGGATGTCCTGCCTCCCCTACACTGAGAATATCTCTTGAATTTGAGCCAGCAGCACATTTCACTGGTGTGCTTTCACTGCTGCTGCTGTGCTTGTTCACAAGATCATTGGATAAAACCATGCCTAGGCTGGTTCTTGAGCAAGTGCACTGGGAACTCAGAACTTCAGCCTCTTTCAACACAACCCATCCTTGCCTCCTCTTCAACCAGCTCCTTACCCACTCCTCGGCTCTTGTGCTCAGCTCTGCCTTCTCCAGCTCAACCCATTATTACCCCCACAGCACCAGGGCACACACCTCTGCGGTGCTTCCTTTTTGAAGGAAGTCAGTCACCCCCTGCCACTCACCTCCCCCAAGAAAGGTTAAGCCTCAAGGATGTAGCTTTGATAGGTACACGTAACATCATCTACTGCTTTCAGATGATCCTACCTCTTCAGTGCCTTTGTCCTTGAAGCATGCCTCTGAGGCACAGTGTCTTTATTTCCACAAGGGAAGAGAACTCCTAGGGCATTTTGGGCACTCAGAAAGCAGAATTTAGGCTCCCGTGCTTCAGGCACAAGTCCTCCTCATCAACCACCATTGATGTAGGAGCAATGCCACTGGGCAGCCTTGGAAGGGGAAGGCAGTGTGTGTTTTGAAGCATCTTCCTCAAACATGCTAGTGGAGGAAGAGCTATGCCCTCCGAGCTGGTCCAAAGGGTGGGAGACAAGGAAGGAGAAATGTATGCAGAGCACGTACCGCCTGGAGTTTCTCTGTTAGCTCTCGGCGCCTGTTACGACACTTAGCAGCTGCCAGCTTGTTCCTCTCTCTCCGGATCCTTCGCTTCTCTTCTTCCTCGGGCGACAGCTGCGGGCAAGTGCCAAGAAAATCCAATCAGATCTGAGCAAGGCATTCCTTTAAGTTTGTGAGGATTTAACCACAATGCTAAGGAGAAAGGCCTGATCCAGCAGGATGCTGAGCGCTCCCCCTCTTCACTGTTGTCAGCAGAAGATGAAAGCACACAGTATCTCTGCCACCACCAGGTCTCAGCAGGAGGGTGAGGAGAAGATGGAGCAGGGTGCAGGGAGAGGATTGTGTAAGAGGACAGTGAATCTGCACCAAGGCCAAACAGATAAAAGATGCTCTGATTGTTGCACAACTTGGGTGGTACGTTAAGCAAAACCAGAGCATGATGTTGTAAGTGCTTCTTTCTTTAAAGAAAATATCTGTTGCTTCCCACACAAAAATAGTTGTTAGCTTGAAGGTCGGGGATGGGGTAGAGAGGGAGACAGGGAAATCAGCAGAGGTCCCATGAAGAAACAGTGATTTATACCACCCAAAAATCTGACCTCAGATTTTTGAGCACTCAGCGAGATAACACACTGCTTCTTGCATCAGCAGGCAAGGCTCCAGTGATATCAAGGGCTTCTTGAGGCCAGCTGACATCCTCACTGATATAAATCAGCAGCAATTCCATAGGAACCCATCCAGCTACACTCTTGCAAAACCAGAAGAAGTGAGCAGGAACCTAGTCAAGTTATGCCTAGCTTTTGGGCTTTGAAATGAGGTTTTACAAATCCCAGCAGCAGGAGACAGGTCTGCACCACTGCCAAGGCCAGGAAGCCAATACAGCAGCACATGGAGAGGGTGAGTACGGCCCAGTCCTTCGCTGCGGCACACGGTGTGCAGGAGCTGGTGCAAACAGACCAGTGTGAGGATTCAGGGCACAAGCTCAGTCATGCATCCTCCTCTGCTGCAGACCAACCTCGTGCCCCGGACTTCAGTCTCACTGAGCCGGTGTGTGCCGCAGGGGCTCTGGCCTGGTGACTGCAAACAAAAGTGAAACCATGACACCCTGCAAAGCACATGTCAGATCTCACATAGTGCAGCAGAGAATGGAAAGCAACACCTCTTCATAAAAGCTTTCAGTTTTAATACCTTCATGGACTGTCAACGTCACAAACAAGACATTCACCCTTTTACTATCTCTTATTTTTATTGTTAGTTTTACTCTAACCTCGGTCTGATTTGTTTTAGCTTACTCTATCGCCTTAATTTTGATGTTTGCAGTTTCAGTGAGTTTACTTCAGCCTCTGGGCACTCAGTTTGCTCATTTCTGCTTTCTTCAGGATCTGCTCTGTGCCTGCCATGTCACCTGCACATAACGCAGACCCTGGATGCCCACTGAGTGACACAAGCACTTCTAAGACTACAGGACACAGGATTTAGGCTCAAAAGCTTTTCCCACCAGCAGATTCCCCCCAGTATGGAGCCCCTGCAGGCACTGCCCTCCCTGATACAGCTCTGCTCACTCACTTCCCAGCCTGAATGTGTGCAGCGTAAAAATGTATTTGCACACAAGTATCTACAGTATGGCAAAGAGTTAGCATGCACATGGAAGCTATGCTGACTTGGGGCCTCTGTGCAGAGTTTTCAAGAGCCCTTTCATGCTTCAGAAGCACAGATCTCACTGAAATACGTTGGGAGCGAAATTTCTCCTCTCAGGGCCTTCAGACATTTTTTAATTATCTGTTTCAAAGGCTCTGCCTTGAGAAAAGTCACACAGACGGGGCTGAAGCCCTAATCTGGACATGCTTAACATTTTACCAGGTCTCAAATGGCATATTCTGTCCGTGGCTGCTGGATTTGTTTGAAAGCGGTTGGATTTGGCACTCTTTGTGCCCCTGCTGTACGCGTTATCCGTAGCTTGTCCAAGCCCAATACGTGCATTCACTGTCAGGAACGTTCATCAAAACAGGCTCTTTTCACAAAGCATTACACAATGTTTTCCGAAAAGGCACTCCGATGTGGTGTTCAAAGCACCAACAGTGAAAACCTGAGCCAAAGAGTCACAGAAAAGCACCCGGGTACTGCCTTAGCACGTGTCTAATCAAAAGGACTTGGCTTTGAATGGCCCACAATGAACGGCTTGCAAACAAGCCACAGGCCAGGAATTGCTTGGCAGGCATCCTTCAGCAAATAACTCCGAACAACAAATAAAGCGGAGAATATGGTGATCTCTTCACGGCCAATTTGTGAACACAGAGGCAGCATTTGTCAAACAAATTAGTCGTTGCTAATTATTTCTCCAGTTCTCGTGAGACCTTCCTTGCCTTTGGACACCAGCCCTGCACAAAGGGAACTGGGAAGTAGCTCCAGCTGGTGGAAAGAGCTGGCACGTACGCCAACCACCACGGCTGCCCCATCCTTCCCCCCAAACATAGGTCCTCAGTGCACCCATACCAGCTCCCCACACAGAGGTACTGATAAACTTTGACTTTAACCTCTTAGGTCTAAACCGGACAGCGACTCCACAAAAAAACACATCAGACTGTGAATCAAAACAGATGACGTGGAAGTAAAAGTAGGGCTGGTGAGTCTTATTAGAAACAGACCTCACGCAAGAGACTGTGCTCATGCACGGAGGGTGTTGTAGTGTGTCTCACTACATCGCTCTGCTGCGACCCACACAACTGCTGCTGGGGAAGAATTTGCAAAGATCTTTTGGATCTTTCAGTTTATTCAGATTTTACTTTATTTTTTCAAGTAAATCAGCCTAGCACTGTGGATAGCTATTCACCAGACAGCCCTGGAGAAGGCTAGTTTTTACTAAGAAGAGACCAACAGGGCCGAAAGGATTTCCAGAAGATGAGATGCCTACATCCACTCCACCACACTGCCCCAGCATAGGAACCAGGGTGCTGGCTTGACAATCCCACCAGGAGGTTGAGCACAGGGCAGCAGTGATACAAGCCACCCCATCCCAGTAATGGAAATGGCACTGGGATGGGAGCAGAAAAATCTTACAGGATCCCCACCTCACTGCTGCAAAGAGATCACGTGATAGTACATTTGTACTGGGAAGGTGAATTTAGACCCCAGACATCCAGAAGGCTCTTGGTACTAGACTAAAAGTGCTCTGAGGAAGCCGTTCCTGGCTGATACTGGGGGTATCACACAAACTGAGACTAGAGCAGTGCTAACAGCCACAGAACAGATGTAAAACACCAGCTGATTTGGGTGGCTGATTTGTGAAGCACCTACAGAAAAGCTCCCCTGCTTGCTCGGAGGTTTCCTTCTGCCTGGAACGGCAGAGACACTCAGACTGAAACCCAGGGCTTGACTTGAGAGTTTCATCAGCTTTTGAAACTGAGCCACAATGTGGCCTGGTGGTGTGAAGCATTTGATGAGCACTGGGGAAATCTCACCGTACAATGAGGAAGCAGCAATACAAGCTACCCTCCAGCTTACAGGCTACGTCACCCTAAGAAACCCCAGCACCTGCACAGCACCAGGGACAGACCTCAGCGCTCCCCTGTGGGGCTGGGAGATCCCGAGAGGGGGCGGGGGGGGAACCTCTCTACATCTGTTTTCAGGTCACTCCCAGCCACTCTGCCCACTGTGGTTACCTGCTCGTCTCTTCGTCTCCGCCCCACTGTGGTGCCGATGGTTTTGATGACACCAGGTCGCTGGAGGGCTGTGTGTCCAGCCACTGAAGACAGCGGGGGCAGCGGATGGCTGTAGGGGTGCGAACGAGAGTAGGGGCTTGACATGGAGGTGATGACGGTGGGCTGGACCATCCACTGTAGATCTTGGCTAGTTGTGATGGCGTTGATCGTAGGGATAAAAGCACTGCCTGATCCTGGCATATCTACTCGAAATTTCTAGGAGGAAAGGCAGAGGAGAAGAGGGAAAAAGAGAAGAAACCATCAATGAAAGCAGAACACAAGCGGTTACTCCGAAACCAGTTAGGCTCTCGGGAGTGGCACCAGAGAGGATCAAAGCAGCACCTGAAGCAAAGGCACCAAAAACTGATGCCTGTGCAACATCCCAGGCTGCCCCTGCCTGCCACAGCCCCCTGGGCTCAGGCGCTTTCCCTCCTGAGTAGCCTTGCCCTCTCCCAGCCCCCCTGCTCACCCCCCTCCCGCAGCTCCCTCCCCACTGCGGCCACCTCCCGCCTGTGCCCACCGCTCCTTCCGGCGGGGAGCAAAAGGGGAATTAAGGGAGTTTCTAGAGAAACACTTCTTTGCCAGCCCAAAGAAAAGGAAGAGAAACTTCAGCTCTGAAATGCCGTTACCAAGCCTTCTTCTACCAAATGATTGCCCTGAAGTCTGGGCTTGGTCCACATAGGGTTTGGTATGGCAAGAACTGCAGTTTGCTTCTTCTTCAGTGGTTCCGCGCTCACCACACACACGCAGGGTGAGAAACCCGGCCCCGGGATGGTTACGTGCAAGGATATGTATTTTAATAGCAGCCTATAAAATAGGTCTTAGGATTCACATCGGACAAGTTCCCTGCAGCTCTCTGCACTGTCTAGACAAAACAAGGCAGCAGTAAAACCAAGGCAGCAGGTAATGATTGCCTCCAAAATACATCTACACCTTGTTTCAGACAGAGGTAAATCCATCTGGATAATATGCTGGCACTAAATTGCAAAGAAAACAATCACTTGTCCCCGGAGGGGGAATCAGGGGAGAAAGAATGCTTTTGTCTACGCTGAGCTCCTTCAGGAGGCTTTCAATGGTTAGACTGGGATTAACAGACAGGCATGCATTGCTCCAGCAATCACTGTGCAAAGGGACAGGGCTCGTAGGACCCGCAGCCATCAACACCACTGATTTGTAAGCCTTGAAATGCACTCTTGGGTCAACAAACAAGCTTCCCAGAGAAGCGAGAGCCCTTGCATCAGCCTGACCTCAGCTCAGGTAAGCGTCCCAGATAAGGGACAGCACTTCAACACAGATTTCCTTTTCAGGGTGTGCCTAGTCAAGCACCTTAAGTACTTTGTTAAACCAAGGCTCCTGCAAATAGTATTTCACATTCTGATAGCTACAGCACTTTGGGCCAGCATCAACCAGCTGCCAACGCCGGGAGACCGGGAGATCCAGTCTGAATACTGACAACTGCCGACTTACAGCTTTGGACAGCTCAAAACCTAGGAAGAAAGGATGAGAGAAGGAAGGAGTGAGTCACGTTAAGCGGGCGGGGGAACTACACAGAGAGGATGACACTGGCATCAAGACCTTGGCAAAACCCCCAAATGGAACCTCAGAGATTCACATGGAGCTTAAGTCCAACACAGTCTCAGCTCACCTCACATTTCAGAGTGCATGTCACCTCTCCCAATTAACTACAGATGCCCAGGGCTGCAAACTGCCAACACTAGAGCAGAATTTATGGGTGCAAATCCCCTCTTTTGCTCTGCCTGGTGTAGGCTGTGACCACATGGCACAGGAGAGGATGCCTTGGTGCCTCCACAACCAGAACACAAAGGAACCTTAACCTCACAGAAGGGAGGAAGTGCAAGACCAGTTGAACCACAAGCTCAACTCAAGGGATGTGAGCTCTGCTACCAGCTCCACAAGTGGTTTCTACCGTGACCTTTACCACCATCCCTTCTGTATCCAAACAGCAGAGAAGAAAAGGTCCCGTCTTTTCAGGGACACTACGAAACATTCAGAGATCTTCCGGTGTTTTGCCATGAAGACACCATTTGCATTCCAGAGCAAACCTCTGCCTCCAACACCCAACAACATGCTAGAAATTCCTAAAGAGGTCAGGAGAGTCAGATCCACCACCAAATCAGCCACATAAAATACAAGCACCTGACACAAGGATCAGGCCCCAAGTTATTGATCGAGTGAGTACTGCAACTGCAATCAGTTCTGTATTCAAACTAGGGCCCTTCTCTAACATTAGTGGAGGTCTTCTGGACAGCAAAGGGGAGCTGCTCAGTTCAGCCACATCCCCCTGCAGTTCCACGGTGCTTGCTTGCAGATCGAGGGAAGAGACCAGTCCCTCTCTGTGCCATGCCCCATCTCTGTCACCAGCCTCCTTTCTAATAAGTCAAAATATCTTAAAAAGAGAAAAAGTCCCCCAAACCTGTATTCTGTACTTTCCAAAGGCAGTATTTTTCCTAGATAACTCTTTAAGGGACATACTGCTGTGGCAGGCTGAGTCTTCAGATAGGGTGCTCAGCCTACCACCAGGATTTACAGGTATTACTTCCTGACTGGTCAGGCTTCCCTCGCATACCTTGCTTTCCCTCCTAGGACACTGCACTGAATCATCTTTGCCGGGCTGGCTCCCCACACTCTGCCCAGCAGCCACCAGCTCTAACCCCTGGGACACTGCTGGTTCCAGTGGCAAGCCCTGAATTCCCTGCCACCTCCCCTGCACAGCCCCTTTGAGCACCAGCCTACTCATGTTGGCATGCCAGAACCTTCCCCATACTGCAGTCCCAGCTTTGGCCTCCTCATCCCTCCTCCTCTCAAGAGAGCTTCAATCCCCCTACCAGCCCACCTCCCCTTTTCTCCTCTTTCCAGACCCCTCCTGCCTCTTCCTCTCCCAGGAAAGGCACAGCTCTCCTCTCCCGTCCCAAGACAGGCTCCTGGAGGCATCTCTCTGCCAGCTCTCGGTTCTTCTTATCTACAAGGAATTCACAGTGCTACAGAAGAGATGTAGCGATAGCCAGATTGCAGGGCTGCACACACAGCACACGCTCAACCGCGAAGCCACTGCTTGCCTCCTGACCCAAGCAACATGCAGATGAAGGTATTATTATAAAACCCCAACAACTAACAGCAAATAAAAAGAGTCCTGTTATTAGGAGTGCCAAGAACTGAGGTCAGCCTCTGCTCTGCCTTAGAAGTACGGGGTTGCATGGGAGCCTCCTCAGATCCATAGTCGAGGGAGGCTCCAGCAAGTCCTGCCACAGGCAGGGACAGGCTACATTAGCAGGTCAAAACCTAGGAGCACAGGAACATTTCAGGCTTTGGTTTCATTGTTCCCTTCTCCAGCTTAAGGAGGAGTTTCTATACCGCACCCCACTGCATATCGGCTCCCCTCTAGACCTTCACTTGCATCTGCAAGTGCTGAGCAGTGCCAGAAACTGGTCTAGAAATGGGTATAACAGCGGGGCAAAAAAAATCAAACCTAACAACAAAGCAACCAGGAAAACACCCAGAGCATCTGTAACAACTGCTCAGTGATCTAATATAAGGTATATGTGATATATCTTATAATAAGGACAAGACCCCTGATGGCTCTCCCATATTGAGGATCTCATCGAAGGAAGACTGGACACAGTGCTATGATTATT